CATCACAGAACATGATAGCATGATGCTGTTGTATGACTCTATGTAGATCATAAATAAGTTATATGAAATCAGTTGTATATTTATCAGTTAGGTCTGTCCTCTCAGAAGAAAGAACAGCAGCAATCATATCCTCTTAAATCATTATAGCTGCTTGTGCTGTTGTGTTTTTTCATAACTCTAACAATAGGTCTTCATCCACTACTAACACTTAGCAGACCATAGCAATAGCACTTCTGTGCTCTATTTAATGTCCAAACATTAAAATTTTATGAATGACTGCAAATAGATAACAAGTGCCAAGGCAGGCCCCAGTTGCTATTGTTCAGCAGTGTTTGCTCTAGAGCAGTTTTCTGAACTCTGCAAACATATCTTCCATCTGGCAGCTGGCTATATTTTCAATTTTTTTTCTGTATAAAGAAAGACCATAGGCAATGCCATATTACACATTTTGATATTCTAGCTATGTAACTGGCCTATCAAAATCTTCTCAAGAAGTCCTAGTGATCAGTATTATTGATGAACTACAAAAAAGTGATATGCATATATTTGAGCATGGATTCTCCTCAATAGAATCCGTGAAAAAAAATCCTTAAATACAAAATATCTATTTGGTCAAAAATTATTTTTTATTCATCTTATTAGTGGTGCATAGTCATCATCTGTCTTTCTCTGTCTTGCAGGTTAGGTATCACTGGTGACCGTATGTCTCCAAAGTCAACGAGGGCCTGAAAATCAAGGTGGTCAAGGCAACCACCTCTTTTTCACAATTTACACAGACATGGAATTTATACTGTTTCTTGCAGATTTAGCATACAGTGTGCCATGGATGAAATTCTAGTTCATTTGGGCTGTTGGATCTGCAATATCTCCCATCACTGGTCACACACCACATTAACTCACTTCACAGATAGGCTTCTGCTTTAGATTTCCCATTAAACCAGCCTATTTGCTTATAGTCCCACCTGCCTGTATCATTCCAGATGACTTTCCCAGACAAAAAGCCCTGCGTGCGTATCTATTGTAATTGATTCAAATAGCTCTATTGACAGTGTGCTTTAAGAAGAGTTGATTTAGTTTACTAAGAATAACATGGACTTGGATGTCAAAACCTTGGTCCTTGATCCAGCTTTATCTCTAAGTAATGATTTTGTCTGAAGCAAACACCAAGCTACCCTGAATCTCAGTTTCTACATCTGTAAAATGAGGAAGGTGGGTATATAGACTATGTTTGGAAGAGAAGAGAAGTTCAGCTACTCAGCTACTTACTAGCAAAGAATGAAAGAATGATCCTGTTATATTTGAGAAGATTGTCCTTCATAAATCCTGCAGACAGATTCACAAAGAAAATGCATTATATAATGAAAGGGAAAGGAAATAGTGCCTAATTAGATATGCAGAATTTAATTGCCTGATGGCTGGATTGCCCTATATTCTGTATTAGTTGGATTAAATGATTCCTAAAGTGTCCTTCAGTTTCAAGTAAATCAATAATTCACTTACTTTTATCAGGAAAACACAAAGTAAAATAATCAATTGATAGAGTTTGTGAATTTAATGGACTGGCTTTATAATCAACCTGGTTTTCATAAAACGAGCACACTAATTAATATGTAGTCTCTGGGTTTTTACACAATTATAGCCTCAAAGTTCTATCTCTTATAGCACCTAAGATTCCTCCTGGAAGATAAAGAGAATCTACAACTAAACATCTTCTAGTGAATAAGTGAAGAAACACACTATTACATGTAACAAATATTAATTTGGGTCTGACATATTGAAAGCGTCATAAGTAGAGAGGGTAAATAAGGCATTGGTTTTGGGGGACAAACAATTTAAAAAGTGGAAGCACCATTATAAGATAATACAAATATTTTTCATCTTAAATAGATCCATTTTATAATTTGAGAGAACTATTTAATAGTAGAAAAGGATTTTGAGCGAAAGTTGAATCAACCTGGGTTCATCAGGTTCACATACATTACAAATGGAATTTATAAAGTAATTTAAAAACTCACCTCATTCAACAGTGTTAACTTTTTTAATGATAAAAGTGTAACAGGGTCTAATCCTTTAAAAATTCTTATTATAGAAAATATGAAACATATTAAAATATATAAAGAAGAAAGAATAATCTCTTATGACACACATTAATATTTGGAGATTTTTCCTTTGGTATTTTTTATCTGTTTATGTGCATGTATTTTGCAAATTAGATATAATATGGGAATACAATCTTGAGTCAAGCTAGTTTTACTTAATCATATATTATGAATATTTTCCCACCAAATTAAATAATTTTCAAAAGCAAAAAAACATATATTACCATATGGATATATCAAAATTTTTAAACGTTTCTCTACAAAGGATTTTATCATTTTATCATAATATCATTATTATAGGATTTTACATTATGCACGGCCCTGTTCTAAATGCTTTGCTTCCACATGTATTGACCCATTTATTCCTCATAATAAGCAAATGAGGTAGCTGCTCTTATTTTTCTTATTGCATGGAAAAGGGAACTGAAGTACTAAGAAGTTAAATATGTTGAGGAAAAAAAAAGCACCCACCTCACCTGCCTCCTAATAAATATGCTAATGACATACCTGCTGGCAAATCCATTGATAGTATTTGCTAATAGGGGAGTCTTTATTATGAAATGCTTTTAGCAGGGTATATCCAGTCTGTCTAGAATTGCTTATGGGAAACAAACTTGTATTTATAGGGAATAGATCCCTGGAATATGTCATCTATGCTATGAAAATATTGGAGTATGAAATTGAGATGTTTCATGATGGAAACGGTTCTCTTTTTTGCAAGAAATGTGACTATACACTATTTTTAGAAACATAATGTGACAAGAGAGAACCTGGGGAGCCCTGTTGGTTGTCTCAAACTTCTCCCTGTTCCTTGAAATTATTTCTATGCTTGAAATAGTTATTTCCATATTGAGATCTTTGATTCATTTGAGTCCTATTTCATATTCCCATTTTTTTGTGTGCAATATCAGACATTTTTAAGACTTTTTATACCTAAGATCTGTTGGGAGACAGTTCTCCATGGGTCTCTCCCAGTTATCTATATCTTATAAACAGTCATTTACTGCTTTTATTACAAATATTTTTTTACAGATGATTGTGTAGTGAACAATCTTAGAAGACAGATGATTTCTCCCTCCAGAACAGTGGGCAAGAACAATTACTGTTCAGTCTAGAATAATCAGGTCTGAGTTTCCTATCTTATATTACAATCCATGGCATATCTATGTGTCACGTGACCTGTGCTTCACTCTGAAAATATGGGCTTGGAGAGCTGGCACAAGGAAGGAATGATATTATGGCTATAGGAGTCTCATATTTTCCTCCAACCTTCATAGAAATGTTGTAGGCTAAATTTTTAGTTTGCAAGGAAGGTAAAATCTCAGACACTTTACTTCGTTGACAGGGTCAAATTTCCCTTCAGAAAGGTGGCATCAATTTACAATGTTACCAACAGTAGATAAGACTGTCTATATATTCACTTTTGGTAATGCTGGTTATTATCATAAAATTAAAGTCCACGCTGTCCACTTTGTTAATTTAAAGTTTAAAGAAGGTCATCTGTTTGTTTGAATATGTACATTTAAATAATTTCTAAAGAGGTATCATGTAGTGTTATAATTACCTTTGTTTACTCCCCAAATAGACTGTCGTTGGCCATAGTATAGGGATAATGTCTAATGTACTCTTTGTTCTTTATTAAGACCTGATTTAGTGCTCATCTATTAGGCAATCAAAATATTTAATAAATTAAACGAAGAAAAGGATGTCTTGCTTTATGGGCTGCCATAACCTCTGCTGGCTTTGACTCTTTATTCTCTCAATTAATTACTCCTTTATTTACTTTTCTTGAAGTCTTAAAATTTCCTTAAAAATTGCTATATTTTTAAAGTAATTTCCCATTATGAATCTACTCTCCTTTTTAGTAACCTTTCTTTTCTTTGACTGCCAGTTGAAGTAATCCTTTGTTTCTAACTTCACAAAAGAGAAAATTGATCATTTATAAGTCCTTTTGCTCTGATAGCCCTGAAAAAGGAATCTTGTTTTCTAGTCATCTGTTTCTTAAAACCTAACAAACATTAGTCTTCAATTCTATCCATTCATCTTTTTATCTAGCATTTGTCTCTTCCATTAGCTTTGATGCTTTTGTTTATCCTTTTGGGCAAATTTTATTTGCTTCAGTGATTATCCTAGCAGAGAGTTGAAAGCATTTTTTCCTGTAGGGTGATATCAGCAGTGATTTCTGAAATTCTCATTCACATATACCAAATTAGTATACCAAATTAGTTTGTGTCTTCAAATCTCATTTCCAAAAATAAATATTACAAATGTATTGGACTGATTTAAAATCATATATACACAACTATATGTATTCTCATATATATCTAATGATATTGTATGTTAGTACAAGCTTTCAGGATGAATCGCCCACCCATTTAAATCAAGAGTCTTAAAAGAAAATCTGTGTGTCTTACCATAAACTATCTTAAGGGCATCATCTGAAATGTCGACACATAAAGTTTTTTGTCCAAGATGGTCATTGCAACATTTCTAGAGACTAAAATTTTTAGAAACTTTAAACATCCAATATTAAGAAAACTAAATAACTTTAAAATAATGTTCAGAAGAAATAGCATTGAAAATATGTATGTGATATTTAGTGAAAAAGCAGAAATTTTTAGTGTTATGATATTTTACCATGTTTTAGATTTATATTTTCATATTTAGCAGTAATAAAACATCTTTTCTTATATTTATTGGCTGTTTATGGTTTATTTGTAAAATATATATATTTTTTATATCCTTGACTCCACCTTCTCTTTTTCAAATTTTTTTCTTTTGATTTTATTCCTTATATGGGTAAACAAAATCTAACCAAAATTACCTTATAAAATGATAATAGCTAATATATGTGATCACAAGAAGAGAACTAAAATATTGAACATAAAAAGAATAGGAGAGAGGAACAAATTATAGCTTCTAAGATCCTCATATACATATTGACCATTGTTCTTCTATTAGTAATAATGGTTGCAATTATTGCCTCCTACTTCGGGCTTATCTTTTTAAAACTTCTTCTATTGTGTTATTTTATAAATAGCAAGTTTAATTTAATTTTATTTATTTTTCCTTGGCGCGGACTGTGTATTTAGAGGTCAGGTGGGCTTCTGAGAGGGCTTGCTCAAGAACTCTTCTAGAAGGAGAAAGGAAATCCACCTTACTGTAGGATTCTGACAGGCGGAGTACCCAGAGGGGAGAGGCAGCTGCTAGCAGTGTGGGTTATCTAGGCTTTGAAAGGTTCCCACAAAGGGCAGGGGGCAAGCCAAGTAAAATAATCTGAATACTACTGTATGCAAAACATTCTGAGGGAATCTTGAACTCTGCCTTCTTGACATGGCCAAAGTAAAAGCCAGGGACATATGCATGAAGTCCCTTTGAACTGGTAGAAGAAATTCCTAGGCACTGATTAGACCCTTAGTTTCAAGAATGACGCATTCTTAGCAAGCCTGGGAGCCCCATGGATCCCACAGCCCATATTCCAGCACAGCGTCAATAAAACAGGTGTGAACTATGCTTGGCTATGTAGCTAGCCCAGGCACCAGTTACTCAAGCTGCTTCCAAATCTATTCCAGTCCGCCAAAGAAAACTCAAAAACATTTAAAAATGTTTTTCTTCTTTATAATCAACATCCTAATAATTGGCTAAGCCTGTGCAGCTGGTGGCACTGTGGCACCCTCCTGGCCTCCAGCCTGCAGACCACCTGCGAAGGCCCGAGGCAGCAATTTCAAGGTCATTGTCTCACTTTAGCCCACCAGAGGCCACATGTTTGTCACACTTTCTTGCAGAACCTGATGTCCCTGTGTGTGTGGGGGTGTCCCAAAATTCCCTTGGTTGTTCCCAGGGATGGGTGATGCTGCTGACCTAAAGGCCACTGATGGCGTTCAGAAAGAAGAGAAAGGAGGCAGTGAATTCACGCCAGAGCATCAGGGTGAAGACGATGAGTGTGATCTAGTTCCTGAGGAGGATCATAAAACTCAGGAGCTCCCGCAGGAGAGGGTGAAAGAGACCGGAGGAAGACGGACCCCATGGCCCACCTGCGCCATAAGTGGACGTCCTCACACACCCAGGACACCACAAGGCCCTCCAGGCCAAACATGGCGGCCACCACGGCCAAAACGCCCACGCGGGCCTGGTCACGTGGGCCTGACCCAGGTCTCTGAGGCAGCGTGGCTCACTCTGATTGGTGGAGGTGCCGTAGTGCGCAGCGCGAAGAGGCGGAGCCAGCACCCATCACAGGTGGAGATACAGGAGAGAATCACTGCCCGAGGCCACATACCAGACAACGAGGGTCAGGAAGGAGGATTCAATGAAGGACGGGCGGGACCTCCTTTGGCCCAACAGCCTCTGGGTTTACAAGCTGCGCCCATCCCGCTGGGGCTCAGCTGCGCGCCGCAGCCTCGCTCCCTCCCGCCGATCGGCTGTGGCGGGGCTGCCCATGGTAAGTGTTAAATTTATTATTGTAGTTAAATTTTATTATATGTATTACTTGTTTGTACTTACTAAGTTTTTATAACAAATCCTTTCCTATATAAAAGCCATAAAAATTTCTCCTATGCCTTTGTCATGAAATTTAAAACAATTTGTCTTTGTGTTTGGCCTGAAGTAATTTTATTTCATTTTTCCTCATGTTAATTACATCTTCTTAACAGCATACTAAAAATATTGCATCTTTTCATCTAAGATTTGCAATGCCAGCTATATTAGACATTGTGTTTTCATACATGCATGGATGTGTTTCTGGGATCTTCTGTAGGCCTATTTATCTATTCTTGAACCTCTGAAGTATTGTCTTGCTATACCATAGTAATAGTAAGTCTTGATATCCAAAAGCATGAATTTCCTCACGTTGTTCTTTGCAAATAAAGTCTTGGGCCTTTGATTTTTAAATATGATTTTTAGTCTTTTAGCCAAATATGGATATTTACTATTCCAATTCATATTGGCTGAAAGATAATACTTTTTCACTGATGTGCATGCTTCCTTTTTAAAAAATTATATCCATGTATGCGTTAGTCTGACTTTGGACTCATTTCTTTTCTCTTGGTCTACTGTTTTATACTTATCTTCATTATTACAGAAAGAGTCCTTTTGTCTGGTTCTTAAAGAGTGTTGTTCTAGTTAGGGTTTGGCAGAAGCACTCTGGGAAGCTGGTCAATGAGTGAGAGAAACAGGACAAGGAAGGAGAGAAGCAATATCAGGCACTGTTGCGTAGAGGATAGTGATAAAGACATACAAAAGTAAATGTTTATTTATTTTCCTGAGAAAGAAAGTAAGAGAGAGAGAAAGAGAGAGAGAGTACCCATGGCACACAGAGTGAGGAAAGAAATATTGGGGGGTGAGGAGAATTGCTTGGTGCTTTTAAAGGGTAGAAATGGCTTTTTTCCCCTCTACTTCGAGGACTGATAACAAAAGTGGCTGTGAAGCTGCTGTGTTGGCTTTTTCTATTTCTCACATAGCAGATCGATAGCAGAAATTAGTTTCTTCTTCCTTCTTGATAGTGGGAGGCATCTGGTACTGTCTCTTCTTGGGGAAGCAGAGGTAGTTCCCACTCCTGCTGTCCGCTGAGGAACTTTTACAAGACTGATGAACTCAGAGATACCAAGTTAGGCTACATGGGTTTTAATTAAACAAAAGCTAGTTATGTTGTGAGTTTATTTCTCTTGCTTTCTGTTTGATAGTTTATTTTCCTCTGTGAGATGGGTTATTAGTAAGACCACCTTTCAGGCCCCTAACTCCATTAAAAATTATTTAAATATATATTTTATGATTACATTGGTAAAAAAGAAGAATACAATTCAAACCGGATTTACTATTATATATGCATTATTTTAAAATTAATATGTTTTTACTGATTTTAAGATAAATTAAAATTAAAGCCTTTGTGTGGCCCTGAAAAGTACTGTGGGCCCTAAGTGTTGTGCATAATTGTCTAATGGTAAGTCTGTACTGGCAAGGAAGCTGGACTTTCATGCCTTGCCACCTGGGACATTGCTTAATGGTCGTCCCTACTCTCTTCTCTGAGCTCTGGGACAAGGGTAATCTTCCAAATAAAGAATTTGTAAGTGATGGCTGCTGGAAGTAAAAGTGAACTTGAAGGACAGGAGGATTCACAGAAATAAGAAAAAAAAAAAAGGATCCTAGAGGTCCTAACATTATTGAATACATAGTATTGGCCATTCTTGGCTCTTTACATTTCTATATAGAATTAGAATCACCTTGTCTAGTTTTTACCAACTCCAATTGGTATATCAATTGGATATGCCTTGATTCTATAGACCAATTTGGAGGGAAGGGCTATCTTTAAAATATTGAATCTGTCACCTGGGCTAGAGTGCTGTGGCATCAGCCTAACTTGCAGCAACCTCAAACTCCTGGGCTCAAGCAATCCTCCTGCCTCAGACTCCACAATAGCTGCGACTATAGGTATGTACCACCATGCCTGGCTAATTTTTTCTATTTTTAGTAGAGACAGGGTCTTGCTCTTGCTCAGGTTGGTCCTGAACTCCTGAGCTCAAGTGATCCTCCTGCCGTGGCCTCCCAGAGTGCTGAGATTATAGGCATGAGCCCCTGTGTAGGGCCTGAATGAATCTTCTAATTCATAAAAAGTTTATATATATCTCTAAGCCTTAAAATTAAGTTTTGTTATTTTCCCCAAAGATAAAATATACCTTTTATTAGATATTTTCCCAAGTATTTGGTATGTTTTATTCTATTGTAAATAAACCGTATTTATTATCTTCTGTTTGATGCTGATATAGAGAAATGCAATTGATTTTTTAATATTGGGTTGATCCAGCAAACTTGCTACCTGATCTTATTAATTTGAGTATTTATGAATAGATTCTTTTAGATTTTCTTTTTACATAATCTTATCATCTGAGAACAGTTTTGCTTACTCTTTTCCAGGTTTCATAAATTTTATTTCTTTTTCTTGGCTCATTCAACTGGCTAGAACCTCTAGAACAATGTTGTATAGAATTGGTAATAGACAACATTTTTATCTCCAATTTTAAAGTAAAGTTTCCATCTTATTACTGTTAAGTATAATATTTACTCTAGGTTTTTCTGGCTTCTGTTATCAAGTTAAGATATTCTATCCTCTTTAGATTTAGTTTTACTTTTCTAAATTTATTCCTTCCCATTAATTATTGAATTTTATGATTGTAATATACATTTTAAACTTGGTCAAATGATCCTCCTGCCTCAGCCTCCCGAGTAGCAGGGACTACAGGCATGTATATATATATTTGTATATGTATACATATAGATACATAGAGAGAAATATATTACATACATATATATATATAGGGAGAGAGGGAGATAGACAAAGAGAGAAAGATTTTAAGGAATTGGCCTAATGATTGTGTGGCTGGCAAACCTGAAATCCATAGTGAAAGCCAGCAGTCTGGAGATTCAAGTGAGAATTGATGTTGCAGTTTCGAGTCCAAGGGCTGAAAATTCAGGCAGAATTTCTACGTTGCACTATGGAGGCAGAATTCCACTTTCTTTGGGAAGTTTCAGCTTTGCCTGCAACTATTTGGGTGAGACCCATCCACATAAAGGAGGGTAACCTTTAAGACTCAAAATCTATGGATTTAAATAGGAATCGCATCTAAAAACCATCTTCATGCAGCATCTAAACTGATATTTATCAAACAACTGGTCCCCATAGTGGAGCTAAGTTCATACACAAAATTAAATGTCATACCCTCTTACTCCCCCAAACATTTCATGTGCATGTCATGTTACTTTATTCTTCTTTTCCCCTCCCACATTGCATACAATCTTTAATTTTTGAATCCTGTTAGCTCTACCTTGAAAATATATCCTGAATCCTAACACTTCTTTCTATTCTGTGGACAACCAATAACCTGGTAAGTGACTTCCCATTACCTTAATATAAAATCTGAAGTCCTACATCATCTGACAGTGCTGAACTCTCTGGCTCCTTTCCTACATTCTTTCCTGGTTCCATCTGCTTTAGCTACATCCTTCAGCTTCACAAGGATGCTTGCTCCTCAGTCCCTTTGCACTTGCGGTTTCTTCTGCCTGCAAGGCTCCCTGCAGAGTTCCCCTCAGTGAAGTCTTGTCATGGAATCTTTTGGTTTCTTCCTGAAGATCTCCATTTAGTAAGTTTAGATTTTTACTTGGTAGAGTCAACTTATGGCAAATTATCATAGCACTGTTTTTCTGAAACTGTTTCACCTTCTTTGTAATATTTATTTGTGAGTAATATTTTCATTTAGTGTGGAATTCAGTGTTGGAAGATTTTTTTTCAGTTTGCTGTATATTAGATTTCTACTGTTTACTTCTGCTGTGTGTTCTGAATCTGTCTTTCCTTTATTCATTTTTTACATTTTTTGTGATAGTTACAGTGCACAGGGTAGAAGTTATTATTTTATCTGTTATCTATATATAGTACTTAGCACAGTAGTTAACACAGTGAATAGGCCTCTGTGAATTTTCTTGAATAAATTTTAAATAAGGTTTTGATTTAATATTAATGCTAAGAGGTATGGTTTCATCCAAACTCCCTATTTATAAATTATAAAACTTTTAAAGTGGTGTATTAGGTTCTCCCCAGCCTGCAATTATCAATCCTTCTTAGTCCTATGAAATAAGATATTTATGATTGACTTACCTTCCAATTGGTCCTCATTGCATGATTGCAAAACAGCTGTACATATGTGATGATTTTTTATTATTTACCATTTATTATTCATTATTGTTTAATGGTGTAGTATTATAGTGTTTGTGGTTTCTTAAGAAATTACGTTTAAAAACTTGATAATAGAAACCTCATGTAAAATACCAGAGATTATTTTTTTCAACTGTGTCAGATAATTGTGTTGAGAGTCCTGATATATGTGGCTAGAAGTATAAGAAGTTTTAACCCCCCATGCAGGATTTCCAAGATCTGTCAGATTTTCATCCTTGACAGATGTGTGCCCACAGCCACCATCACAACATGTCATGTGTAAAGCTGAGTGACATAGAAAGCAGTGATCACAAATCATTTGTTAGTTGAATCTCATAGCTTTTCTTAGTAGACTGTAACTTGTATGAAATTTGTGAGTTTGAGTGCTCATTATCACCAATTATTGAACTCATATATCTATAAGATTAATTCAGATATAAAGTGTTTATGAAAATTTACCAACTAAGTTAGGTTAGAGCTGGTAATGTTACCACATCTTCTCATAGCCCCTTTTCTGCATGCAGCCACTTTGCTAGATAATCATAGCGGATATATTCTTGAGTGGTTAATCTACATTGTTGTTTTAGCAGCAACATATGCTCCTGCCAGCCTCAAAATTTTTAAAAGTAAAGGACTGTTGTCTAAAATATACATAGAACTCTTAAAACTCAATAAAAAAAAAACAGTAAGAAAAAAACAGCAAAATGATAAATGGGTTTTGTTTGATGGTCTTGTGCCTC